TTGTTTTTTATTTTTATTTTTATTTTTCTTTTTGAGAAATTTTATTTCAGTAGAACACTAGAAAAATAATTGGACAAATTAAAAATACACTCAATCAAATTTGCATATAATACGTATTATTCATTGTAATTTGAAAAATTATAAATACCCTCTTGTTATAATTTCTTATTTAAAAGAATTAACTAAAAAAATAAAATTCCCAACTACTCTCCTATACAATAATAAAATTATATAAATTGTTAATTCAAATATATTTTTAAAATCATTAAAAACAGTTAATTGACTTGATAATTTATTAATAAAAGAGACTATATGTTATAAAATTAAAAACCTCATGCGTGAAGTACAAGGAATTTGTATTTTAAACAAATTTTAAGAATATATTTATAATTTATCGAAAATAATTATATTCTTATAATGGTGCAAGTGTCCTGTATGCATAGTTCAAGTTGATTCCAATGTTTGTTGCAAGTCTTTTCTATGTGTTAAAGTTTCACCCGAAAAGATTCTCGATTGTTCCACTTATTTGCAATTTGTTCTAATTTTTTCTCCATTCCTTTATTTTATATATATATATATATTCAGTGAAATTTTATTATTATTTTGAATTGTATCAAAAATTTTAACTTTTGTGACTTATCTAATGTAAAGTAATTTTTTTTTTAAAAAAAAAAATCCATAAAAAATTCACTAAAAATAAACAGAAAAGGCTAAACAAAACTAAAATGGTCAATTATTTTTTACATTTTTTCATCTTTGTAAAAAAAATTTAAGATTTTAAAATTTTAATTTTTTTAATCTGTTTAGTCGACTAAAATCTAAAATTATAAATTATTTAAAAAAAATTCACTAAAGATGCAAAAAGTTAACAAAAAAAAATCCAACCTCAAATGCTGACTTATAGATGTAGTTTTATAATTTGTTCCCTATGTTAATTTAGTTCTTCACTTTGATTATATTAGTTTTGTTTCAAGTTTTTATTATTGCAGCTATTTAGTTAAAGTAATAATGAGGGACGGATGTAAGATTTGAGCTTTGGAAGGGTAAAAATACATGTAACTTTTCATCAAAAAAATTGTTATAAAGCTTTAAATTTTGATTTATACAAGCACAAAAAAATACATAATATTACAATTAATCCGACATTCTTTGTTAACATAATTGATAACAAAATATAAGTGGACATATTTCTTTTGTCTGCATTAACTTAACAAATATATATTCAGTGAAATTTTATTATTATTATTATTATTTTGAATTGTATCAAAAATTTTAACTTTTGTGACTTATCTAATGTAAAGTAATTTTTTTTTAAAAAAAAAAATCCATAAAAAATTCACTAAAAATAAACAGAAAAGGCTAAACAAAACTAAAATGGTCAATTATTTTTTACATTTTTTCATCTTTGTAAAAAAAAATTTAAGATTTTAAAATTTTAAATTTTTTTAATCTGTTTAGTCGACTAAAATCTAAAATTATAAATTATTTAAAAAAAATTCACTAAAGATGCAAAAAGTTAACAAAAAAAATCCAACCTCAAATGCTGACTTATGGATGTGGTTTCATAATTTGTTCCCTATGTTAATTTAGTTCTTCACTTTGATTATATTAGTTTTGTTTCAAGTTTTTATTATTACAGCTATTTAGTTAAAGTAATAATGAGGGACGGATGTAAGATTTGAGCTTTGGAAGGGTAAAAATACACGTAACTTTTCATCAAAAAAATTGTTATAAAGCTTTAAATTTTGATTTATACAAGCACAAAAAAATACATAATATTACAATTAATCCGACATTCTTTGTTAACATAATTGATAACAAAATATAAGTGGACATATTTCTTTTGTCTGCATTAACTTAACAAAATAATAACTATTACTATGTCTCTGTCTATTAAAGTTAACTATTTAAAAATGTTATAATCGTCACTTTTGATATATATATATATATATATATAATATCTATGATAAGCTTGACATCAAAACTTTAATTAATATCTTTCTCAACAAATATGATCAAATAACTTGTTACAAAATCATCTTCCATCTTATTACGTAGTTTAGTTTTGAAAAAAATATTATAATTGAAATTGTATGTTTTTATGAGTACAATGATAATTATTTTCAATAAACGGTATTAAATTTTATGAACTTATTTTAGGAATGTCATGTTGAAGTAGATAACATTCCTATTTGTAGAAAATGAACAAAATAAAATGAATGCAAAATAAGATGTGTGAGCAAATTAAAGTGTGATTTATAAAAGAAGGAAAAAAACATAAACAACATATGAGCATAAAATAATAATAGTAACAAACAAAAATAAATAAAAGAATATAAGTAACTTTAAATGATATAGAAATATAACAAATAATGTAGATGACAAATAGAATAAATCAATATTTGATAAAACTCAAATTAGAAACTATTTTTAAAATTGTGTAATGTAAATAATTTGGAGAGTGTGAGCAACTGAAATTTTAAAGGTGCGAAGTACTCAAGTTTAAAATTTTCTTACTAATTACTGGTACAATATACATAATTTTAAAAAATTTGAGAGTGTGACTACACCCACCCTCGCCCTAGATCCATCCTATATAGAATTCAAAAGGTAATAGAACATTTTAGATTAGACATTAACCTTTTAATTATTTTAAAAAAGAGTAAATCAATTATTTTAGACTTTAATTTTAGTTCAATTTTTCAAAAAAAAAAAAAAAAAGCATTATCAATTGAATTTTATTAATGTAACATAAAAATTCAAAGGTAAAATTATTGTAGTTAAAATTAGAATATCTTGTTGATACAAGGGATTATGCGTGTAATATGTTCTAAAGACACAAAGGTTTTAGATTGCTTATATTCGTAGGAAGTATACAAAATTCATACACAAAAGATATTTAAAATATTTAATATATAATTGAATTTCAATATACAAAACTTAATCTATATCACACATCATCTTTTTAACTATATTCGGTGCATAAATTTTAAGGTAAATTACACTTTTAGTTGTTATAATTTAATCCAAATTTTATTTTAGTGTTTATTATTTTAAATTGAATAATTTGATTTTCACATTTTAATTTTATTTTCAATTTCATTATTCCATTTAAATTAGAGGTTAAAATTAATAGTTTTTTAATATTTGCCAGTCTCCTATAATGTACACGTTAAAAAAATTATCAAAAATTTAAACTGAAATATTAAATTGAAATTGAACTTAAATGGTAGAGATCAAAATTTCCAAATTAAAATAATAAAAATTGCAGTAAATTTTAGGTAAAATGATAAAAGGTGATATATCTTGGTATGTTTACTGTATTCTTTGAGACTTACAAGTGGTAAGATTCATATGTTGGATTGGTTCATAATCATAAGCGGGCAGGATAGGAAGTGCTTGATTTTTACCCTTTTGCCCTTCATGTTATTCCTGCGTGGCACAAGTTGGTGCACATAATTAGTTCCAATAACATATAATATAAACATAGAGTAATTAATTAATTTTTTATCACAAAATTTGAGAGTATTAATTAGTGCCCTTGGACTACAAATCTCTAGATTGACCTAATGAAAATTTAATTGCCTCGTTACTCTAAAAACCCTTTAGGAAGTGTTGGATTCAAGATAATAATAAAATAATAATTTTATAAGAATAATCATTTTCATGTTTAGTTTAGTAAACATAAGAATTTTGTTAACATAATCTTTTTTTTAAGGTACATGTTAAAAAATTGGCAAAGATTATATATTTTATATATATAAGAAAAAAACTAATATACAATCCAAATTGAATCACTGTTTCCAAATTTTTTTAAAAGAAAAAGACAATTCTATTAAGAGAAAAAAATTTGGGGATTTAGTTAAAACCCTCTCATAATAAAACTTTAATGCATTAAGGACAAGCATAATTTTTTTTAAAAAAAAAAAAAAAAGAAGTCAAACACATATCATTATTATCAAAATATTAAACTTTAAAATAATATAACTTTTGATGTAGATGTTGATTTTTAATAAAATTAGAATTTTTAGAATCCACTCATCAAGATCTATCAAATAAGATCCATGTTGATTATGAAATTCTTAAAAAAAAAATTACTGTCGAAATTGATGAAAACAGTAACAATAGCATGTCACTTTGTTTGGCACTAATATGTTACTATGTCTCACAATAACATGTTACTCTGTTTGACAGTAATATATTACTCTATTTGACAGTAACATGTTATTCTAGTTCAAAATAACATGTTACTCTGGTAATATTGTCCAAGAAAAAAAAAGATATTTTACTTTATCCTTACTCAATTATGTGTTTTCTCCTTATGAGATTTATGAAGCAAAATAAATTAAGTTGTCCTTTTCACCAAATAAGAGTCCAATTGAGGGATTTTGGCTAAATTTTCTTAAAAAATAACTACTTCATTTTTTTCAACAAAAAAAAAAAAAAATCATTTTTACCAGCCAAATATATTGTTTGCCACTTCAAAAACTCCTGTTTACCACTCAGAAAATTTTGGGGGTGCAAATGCGTAGACTTGCATTTATGTATTTGATTATAGACGTGCCAGACCTTGTGAACCTAGTTTAAGGTGTAGGAATGTTTGACTATTTCTGACTTCTAACACAGAGGCCCTGTTTGGTAAAGTTGTGGGAAAGTGATTATAGATGATAACTTAACAGATTATAACTTGTAGCTGCGAACATAAACTGTTAACTTGTTTGGTACACCTGTGGGACTATGAATTTAAGCAACAGAGTAGTATTTAGTGATGAAAGGTAAAGTTAAAATCTAAAATATCTTCATTAAATAAAATAAGAGATTACAAATCATATTTATACATCAGTACAGTGAACAAATGAATTAACCTAACCACACTTCTAACTAACCACTGTTCCAAACTGTCACAAGCTAACTAACCACACTTCTAACTAATCTACAGTTTAAGCTAACTGAATCTGTTACAATCTGTGAAGGAAAATATTGTCTAGAGCTGCAGGACATTACACTTGATGCACCTCTTGGACCTCTGCCTTATCATGCCCCCTCAAGTTGAGAGGGGGAAGACCAACACGAAGCTTGGAAGTGAGAAAAGAAAATCGGGCAGTGGACAGAGACTTGGTGAAGATGTCAGCCAATTGATCCAAAGAAGGAACATATTTGAGAAAGAACTGGCGACGAGCAACCTTCTCACGAATGAAATGACAGTCGACTTCAATGTGTTTAGAGCGGCTGTGAAAGACCGGATTAGTAGCCAAGGATAAAGCAGACATGTTGTCACACCAAAGAACAGGTGGAGATGGTTGAGGAATGTGAAAATCAGCAAGAAGCATTTGTAACCAAGTGAGTTCGGCAGCAGTGTGGGCTAAGGACCGATATTCAGCCTCGGTCGAGGAGCGAGACACAGTGGACTGTTTCTTGGAGGACCACGAAATGAGATTAGAACCCAAGAACACACAGTAACCAGAGGTGGAATGTCTGTCAGTGGCATCCCCAGCCCAATTGGAGTCAGAGTATGCTGTGAGATGAAAAAAACCAGGAGCAAAGAGAAGACCACGGGAAAGGGAACCTTTAATGTAACGTAAGATACGTTTAACAGCAGAAAAATGAGCCACAGTAAGGGCATGCATATGTTGGCAGGCTTGGTTGACAGCATAGGAGATCCCAGGGTGAGTTATAGTAAGATACTGAAGAGCACCCACACGGCTGCGAAAAAGAAAAGGTTGAGAGAATGGGAGAGAATCAGTAGCAGGAAGAGAAGGTTTAGCTGAGGTAGGTGTAGCACAAGGCTTGCAGTTAGTCATGCCAGCTTTAAGAAGAAGCTCCGAGGCATACTTCTGCTGGAAGAGAAAGAAACCTTGAGCAGTGGACTGAACGGAAATACCTAAGAAATAGGAAATATCTCATAATTCCTTCATGGAAAAAGCATTGTGCATTTGAGTTAATAAGGATTTAAGATAGGACTGATCAGACCCTGTAAGAAGTATATCATCGACATATATAAGAAGAAAGGTAATGGAAGAAGAAGTAGAATGAATGAAGAGAGAAGAATCACAACGACTCTGAAAAAATCCTTGAGAGAGAAAAAAATAGGAGAAAGTAGAGTACCAGGCCCGAGGAGCCTGTTTCAAACCATAAAGAGCCTTGTGAAGTTTGCAAACAAGAGTAGGTTGAGAAGGATCCACAAAACCAGGAGGCTGTTCCATGTATACTTCTTCATCCAACTTACTATGTAAAAAGGCATTAGATATGTCAAGTTGTTTGAGAGGCCAATGGTGGTGATAATTGTCTTTTTTGCCCTTATATGATATAAAAATGATAATTTTGTCAATTTTTTCAGTTTTAATTTAAAAAAATTATTTCATTAATAAAAGTTACTATAATTACTATTAATTAGTATCAATTAATATAAAAATTGATACATTTGATAAAAATGTAATGGAAGTATTATTGTAACAATTTTTTTCCATTATAAATTAATTAGTATCCATTAATGGCTTAATTAGTCTCAATTAATACTAAAATTATTAATTAGTGTCAATTAATATTAACAATTAATTTTTTTGTTCCTTGTTTCTTTTTTTTCCTTAATTTTTTTTTCTTTTCTTCTCTTAATTTTTTTTTCTTTTTCTTCATTTTATTTTATTTTATTTTCTTTAGTTTATAGTTTATTTTTTCAAATTTGAAGTGGTGCGTGCATGGTGAGATTGCTCATGAGAAAATTTTGACAAGTGTTGAAATACCAATTAAAATTTTCAAATTATATGTTAATTGATATTTTTTAATTTTTTAAAAATTGTTACAAATACCAATTTATATTTTTTTAATTTATTATTAAAAAATTGTTACAAAATATACCAATTTATTAATATTTTTTTAATTTAATTTATTATCAATTAATGGCTTAATTAGTATCAATTAATATTAAAATTATTAATTAGTATCAATTAATATAAAATTTATTTCATTAATGGATTAAAATGCTTTATTACTATTATTATTAGTATTATTATTTTTATTAGAAAAAAACTGAAAACCTAGCTCCGGCGCCGGAGAGAGAGAAAGAGAGAGAGCTCTAGTTTATCGGAAAGGAGCTTTACTGTCACGACCCAAACCCGGCCCTATGGGTTTAGTACCGTAACCGGCCAGTAATCCGAGATTACCAAAGGCCTGCAGAACAGTAACACAGTAAAACAGAGTACAGGGCCTGGCGGAAGCCAAAACAGTAATAAACAATGCCTAACGAGCTGTGACAGTCTGTATGCAAAAGATTTTTTTCATGCATTCATACATAAACAGTACAGAACAGTATGTACAATATTTATGTCCATTCAAACTAGGGACTCAACCCTACATAACGGTACAGAAAACATTCCGTCTGTACAAAACAGTACGGTCTAAACAAAATTTACAGTCACACAGTACAGGGACCTAATCCCTTTATAACAGTACAGTAGCAACTGACAGTCTATACAGTAATCCAAACAGTATGGAGACAGACGGGGGAAACAAACAAAACACCCCAAAGCCATAGCATAGCAACTCGGAACCTCGCAGTGAGGCACAAAGGCTGGCTTGACAAAACTGGAGTAACCCCAGGTAATAATACAAGATGAGATTCAAGTCTATGAATCATTGAAGGCGTAAAGGTAAAGAATACATGCAACAACAGAAATAAAGTATGGAGCCAACACTTAGACAAAAATATAGAAATTGCATTAAAAAACTTAGTGTGATTATATTAAGAGGCACGTCGGCCAACAAGTGTAGAGTCACTGTTTAGAAACAAAAAACTAAAGGCAGTAAGTAAAGAAGTCTATGCTTTCGGAGCGTCTTTGAGGACTTCAATGGTAGTGGTAGTAGTAGTTGTTGTATTCATTAGCATAACAGTAACAGTAGGTCTTAAAAGACCGAACAGTAATGATGGCCATCAGTCAGTAAACAGTAGTGGCTCCACGAGGGAACCGACAGAGATCTCTGTAACAGTAACAGTAACAGTAAACAGTAGGTACTAAGGATGCCACAGTACAGTTCAGAAATAAAGGACATACATTCATTCAGTAATACCAGTTCAGTAAACAGTTTAGTTCAGTATTCAAAAGATATCAGTTGAACATATCTTTACACAATTGCTACTCACAGAGTTCGGGCTACAGTAAGCTAGAGCGTGTCTCCCCAGTCGCCAACCCTACACAGTTAACAGGTTGAACACACACTAAGCTACACAGTTGGGAAAGATAACAACTTAATCCCTAATGCCTCGGTTTGTTCTACATCTATATCCTCAACAAGATGCCTTAAACTAGGCCTAAGAATGCCTAGAACGGGATGAGGATGCAAGGATGCACATTTAAAAGCATTTTCAGAAAAACAGAGTCCCGCTCGAGCGCACGTTTCCCCGCTCGAGCGGTCATGCAACAAAGGTACACGCTCGAGCGTAAACTTACCCGCTCGAGCGTACTGTAAAAGTACTGGATGGGTGAAATCTCCGCTCGACGCCCGCTCGAGCTTGAGACAAGACTCCGCTCGAGCGCCCAATCCTCCGCTCGAGCGGACTGCAAAACAGTGCAGAAATACTGGATGCTCGAATTCTACGCTCGAGCGGCACTTCCTCTGCTCGAGCGGGAGTGCAAAATCTGGAAAACCCAGATTGCACCTCCAAGCTCAAAACCAAGTTCAAAAGCATCAAAACTCGACCTCTTGGGCTAAATTTCCAGAAAACACATGTGAACTCATAGTTAAACATGGTTCAAAACTCAATTTGAAAAATCAAAGCCCAAGGGTGTTTTATTCAAACCCAATTTCAAACCACAGAAAGCGGTGGAGGACTTGGTGGAGGTAAAAATAGATGAGAAGAACCCGGATAAGTTCTTCTTGCTTGGCTCATCGTTGTCCAGCACTGAGAGATTAGAGGTCTTGGAATTCTTGACCTCTAATATCGAAGTGCTTGACTATAATTGATTTAAAATTTAGGAAAAATTACTCATCAAAGTACTTTCTCTAAATGAATTTCACATGAATGACAAATATTATACATTTCAATTATTAAATTTATAAATATTTTGTAAAATTTCCATTGAGGTGTAATTTCCTTAAAATCTATCCCTTAAGACCTAATTCCTACAACTTAGGAATGAATTTAAGAGCTCGTTTGGCATAAAAAAGCTATGAAACAAGTTGAACTCAACTCTTCTAGCTCCTCTCTCTCTCTAAGGTCGGCTAGAGCATCAAACAAGGCTGAGGAAATGTTTGTTTCAAGTGTGCACAAGGCTCTAATATGTTATAATAAGAGGCCCACTAACAAGGACAATAAGGTAATTAAGCCTAACTCTTTAATTAGCTTATTTTAATCTAATCTAATCATACCTAATCAGTTTTCAGGTAAATACACCATAAAATCACATTAATTACGAGGGTCATGGAACATCAGTCAGTTTCTAATTCGGCCGCCGATAAGGCCTTCAATTAGCAGTTTAAACATATAAGCATGAACAGATACTCATACAGTCAAACAGATAGAATGCAATTTAACTAACATATACTCAATCAATTCGGTTTCCAATTTCAGTCAGTCAGTTCAGTACTTTTAATCAGTTCAATTATCAGTCAGTTATCAGTCATTATCAGTTCCGTTTAACAGTAATCGGTGATTATCGGTAATCAATCGGTCATTAATCAGTAAACAGTATGGGGGTTGTTACATTTACGTAGATCACTTCTGCATCGATCACGAGGGGGATGAGAGATGATGACAAAGAGAGAGAGAGAGAGATATGCCACGGTTAGGGCTTTGCGATCGCGAAGAAAGAGAGAGAGAGATCTACCATGGTTAGGGTTTTGCCCTGTAAAACCCTAGCCGGCAACCCTCATCGTCAGATCAAGAGAGAGAGAGAGAGAGAGAGCTAGCTCTGGTTCGGATCATCACAGGCGCCGCTAGGGTTTTAAATCGTCACCAACGGCTCTAGGGTTTCAGATTGATCACGACAGTTAGGGTTTTGCCCCTCAATTGTGATCGCAACGGCGGAAGGTCGATCGAGAGAGAGAGAGCGAAAGACGAAGATGTTTGCCAGAAACTTAACACCTTCCCCGGAATCGCCATCATTGCCATCATCTCATCTCTCTCTCTCTCTTACAGAGTGAACAGTGTGAGAGTGTGGTCTATATACGAGGTATTTGGTAATAATCGAATTTGAGGAGGGACATTTAAGTCATTTTAGCTCCCTTTACCAGCTGCTCGCATAACTCGAATTTGTTAAGCACCCCAGAGCTGCTTTGAAAAATAAGTTGAAAATAACTTAACTTAAGCTATAAAACACTCTAAAATAGCTTAATATAAGCTAAAAGCTTAAATAAGTTGCTTATAAGCTGTGCCAAACAGGGCTAGAGAAATGATCGTATGTGGCTTAGAAAAATCGCCACTGGTTTGGATCTTGCCCCAATGAAGAGGACGGGATCATGCACCATTTTAGGAGATAAGCCTCAACAACCTCCTAACCTTTAGGAACGGTTGAGGCTCCATTATCCTTAAATAATTAATTAATTAATTAATTAACCAAATAACTTAGTTAATTAATTAAATAAATAACATAAAATAATCTCCCTTTGCACAACTGCCATTTGACTTTGGTGGTAGGTCTAAAAAATCTTTGACTTTCTATCTTCTATTACCATGTGATATTAAAAATTTTGAAAAATTGTCACATAACAATTTTTATCAAAAAAGATACAAACATATACATTAAAATGTTATTCTCAAGGTTGATCTATTGAAATTTTAATTGCTAATTACTCTAAAATTAACTGTTTTTATAGTATGGCTAGTGAAATTTTTGTTTCTTATTAGGGGATTAATTATTCAAGTCATATTAGTGACAATTTTCTCCCCAGGCTAAGGCTCCCATGTATCCCCCCCAAAAAAATAATAAATAAATTAACATGTTTAGATAGATTGTACATACTCTTATAGAAACAAAAAAGGAGACTTACGTGTAGGTCCTAATAGGTGGATTTATTGTCCAATAACTTCTATGATAATTAATAGCGTTTTTCATCAAACACTATTAAAAAATGTCACTAATTGTTAATTTTCAGTAACAATTTGAAAACTTTGTCACAAAAAAATATCACTAACTATAAGTTTTAGCGACATTTTAAAAGAATTGTCACAGAAAAATATCTCTAATTGTAAGTTTTAGCGACAATTTAT